CTCAGCCGTTTCCCTTGTGCCCCTCGGTGGATCCGCAGGGCTCTGGAGCCAAGCTGCACAGCTTCTCTCAGGACGGGCGTGGAGTGGCAGCCTTGGGGAACCTTTTGGCAGGATGCTGTCCTAGTGGTGCCAGTGTCATGGAGCACACATAGCGTGTGCGTCTCCGTGCTGATGAAGTCATTGTCCACACGCAGAGAGCCAAATGACAGGCTGTTCTGGATTAACCATCAAATGCTAAATCAGAATGAAGCCCTCGGGATGGTGAATAATGTAATAGCCAGGGACTAACTGATGGTAGAGGTTCTTCAGTGTGATTGTATGCTTTTAAATGTTACAACCACCTCGTTGAGGACATAGTTTAAATTTAAAAGCATTGTGCAAGTGAAATAATATGGTTTTGTTAAAAATGACCAAATTAAAGCTATGTTTTGGACCTTAAAAAAAAAAAAAGAGTTGCATTATGTAGTTGCGTTCTCCTGTGTGTTTGGTGTGTATATATTTATGTGTGTTACATTTTCCTCTTGAATCTTTTCCCTAACCAGTATATGGTGGCTCTCTTTATTCTGTTTGATCACTCTTGGTTTGAAGTTGAGACTGTCTTGAGAACAGGATTGCTACCAATGCTTTTTTCTGAGCTACTGGGATGTGTGATATTGTTTTCCATCCTTTGACCTTCAGCCTATGAATTTCTTTATGAGCTAAGTGTGTTTCTTGTATGCAGCATATTGTTGGTTTTTATTTCCTAATCCACTGTGCCAGTCTATTTCTTTTCAATGTTGAATTGAGTCCATTTATATTGATGGTTATAATTGAAATGTATTGTCTTATGATTGGCATATTACTTACCTGCTGTTGTGTACTCCTTTTTCTCCTGTGTTTAGTTGTTTTCCATATTTATTGAGTTTCTTCTGTTCTCATTCGTGCAGTTCTAATCATTTTAGTCACTCTGTAGAACATCTTTTAGTAGTCTATGCAGGGTTGGCTTTTTCACCATGAAATTCTTTACTTGGTCTTTGTCATGGAAGTATTTCACTTCTCCATCAAACTTGAAAGAGAGTTTTGCAGGGTATAGTAGTCTGGCCTGGAAATTGTTTTCATAGAAGACCTGAAGTACTCTGCTCCATGCTCTTCTTGCCTTCATGGTTTGTGAAGAGAAGTCAGTCATTATTCTGATGGCTTTTCCTTTAAATGTCATCTGTTTCTTTTCTTTAGCCACTTTCAGTACATTGTTCTTGTGCTGAGTTTCTGGGATCTTAACTATTATATGTCTGGTGTGTTTTTATTTAGGTTGATGTTTTTTGGCTTTCTGTATGCTTTGGTTACCTGAGTGTCAGATTGTTTCCCCATACTTGAGAAGTTTTCTGCTATTACTTCTGCTCATATTCTTTTTATATCATTTGTATTGACTCCTTTTTTCTCATTGATGCCTATTATTCTCATGTTGTTCATCTTTGTATCATCTTGCAGATGAGGAATTATTTTTTCCTGAATTCTAGTTGTTCCTAGGAGATCTTTTCTTACCTTTTCACTAGCTGTGATGGAGTCTTCAAGATCTGAAACTACTTTCACTTTCACTCAAACTGTTTTGCAAGCTTGTGATTGAGATTTGTGTGTGTGTGTGTGTGTGTGTGGCCAGCACAGCCCACCAGGGGGCGGGGCTGGCCGGCATATGGTGCTGGGGATTGAACCGTAGTCTCTGTGCTTTAGTTTAGCTTGTTCTAGGTAGGTGCTTTAGACCACTGAGCCATCTCACCAGCCCATGATTGAGATTTTAATTTCCTTTATATCTCTTTGACTCTGCTTCATGCGATCTATTTCTTTCCTATCTTGCTCATTGAAGGATTCCACCATTTTTCTAATGTCCTGTATTTTTAATCAGTGTCTTCTTGAGAGGCAGTTAATTCTTTCATTATAGTTATCCTTTCTTTTTTTACTTCAGAGATTATTTCTGATCTGATTTCCTCCATGTGTTTCTTTCTGCATTTGATTCTTTACTTCAGATGCTATTAATTGAGAGATTTCTTTTTTTATTTCAGAAGTTATTTCTGATCTGAGTTCCTCTATACCTTTTTGCAGTTGTTTCTTTACTTCAGATGCTATTAATACAGGCATTTCAGCTGTGTGATTCCCAATTTCTTCTGTGCTAGTGACTTCTGCACTTGTTCTGGGTGTGCTCAGGGTCTGAGATTGCACTTTGCTCCTTTTCTTTGTCATTTTTTACAGCACTTTCTCCTGACATTTAGTGTAGAGCTTTGGTGCAGTTATAACCTTAGCACCTACCCAAATTCTGGTGCAGAACTGCGAAGTTTGAATTCATCCAGTTGTGCCTGGCTTTGGTCTGGCTGCTGTCCTCAGCTTCTTCCTGCTGCAACCCTTGGAAGGCATCTCTTGTGCCCCTCTGTCAATATGTTCTGCTCCTGGATTAGCTGGGTGGTTCTGCCCCCTAGCCTCTCTGCAGGGAGTTCAGCTTCAGAGTTTTACCCCAGGCCTGTATGCCAGGACTGGCCTGGATCTGGAGGCATCACGAGAGCAAGGCTGAAGGTCTCACTCTCAAGAGGGGCTTGGACTCCATCAGGAGGGGTCCAGTGGGTGCAGGGGAGTGTGGAAGCTCTCCCTCATACTCTCTGGGCTTGGTCTTGGGCTGGTTCTGGAAGGATTCCGAGAGTGAGGTGGAAGTTCTCACTCATGCGCTGGGCTTTGCCTGGGTCCTGAGTGGTCCAGTGGCCATAGAGGAGTGCGGAATCTCTCCTACATGCTCACCAGCGTGGGCATGGCCTGGGTCTTGACAGGTCCTGAGAGTGTGGTGGAAGTTCTCACTCACACGCTGGGATTTGACTGGGTCCATAGGTGTCCAATGTGTGCAGGGAAGTACATAAGTTTTCCCACACACTAGCTGGGCTTGTGCTTGGGCTGGTCTCTCACTGAGCTATTTAGCTGGCCCAAAATTTATTTATTTATTTATTTATTTATTTAGTTTTGAGGGTACCAAGAATCAAACTCAGGACCTTGTGCTTGCCAGGCAGGCACTTGTGCCACTGAGCTATATACCTGTCCTAACAAAGTAGGATTTGTTAAAAGCGTGTGGTAATATTTAATCATGTGTCCAATTCTGCATAACTATATATGTTAATCTGAGCTACAGATTTTTGTTAATCATGAAAAAAACTTTAGGATCTATTTGCAACTGAGGAACTATGAAGGACATAAAAGAGAAGCTACAGAGCAGGATATAACATTTTCAACTCATATAACATCCAATGAATGATGTACTGTTATACAAATATATTTACAACCCTCAAAATACTAAAGTTGGAGTAATCTCTTCATAAAATCAGTAAAGATGTTTTAGGCATCCCACCACACCAAAGAGACTACAGAAGTGAGAAACATGCAGCACATAAGCAAATCTGCCAGGTTATCCACTCGTTTTCCACCTATGGAGAACTTCAAACAAGGCCTCATGAAAGAATGGCACACTGCTCCCACAGGCAGGAAGGGCCCGTCAAGCTCAGTGTCGCCCTGAGGCGTGAGCCGCCCCGGCCCCTGGGCAGTGTGAGCCCCTGCGGAGGCGCCTGTGCTGTCCAGAGCAGGAGGTGTGATGATAAGAAAGACCATACAGCAATCACTGTTTGTCAGCTGCCCTTGCTTTGCACGTCTGTAGCATACGTATTGTTGGATGTTCCCTGTTTCTGTCTTTGTTCTTGATTTTCTTGCTCTTGTTTTTACTCCTCAAAATAAAAATAAAATTATAAAAAAACTTAAAAAAGCATTACTACTACTACTACTCCTCCTCATTAGAATGGTAGAAACCGGCAATATAATTATCCAAGTTCTCCTGTGAATATTCACATATACATATATATTTTTCCCTTCTTTCCTTTTTTCTCCTTTCCCTTATCTCAGTTGTTCCAAAATCTTTTTTTGAGACAGGGTCTCACTGTGTAGTTCAGGGTGGCCTTGAACTCATGTCGTAGCCCTGGCTGGCCTCAAACTCACGGTGATCCTCCTGCCTCAGCCTCCTGAGTGCTGGGATTGCAGATGCGATACCTTTTATTTATTTATTTATTT